GTGGCTCAGTCGGTTGAACATCTGACTTGATTTCAGCTAAAGTCATGATCTCATGGTTCGTGAGTTTGAGCCCCTCATCGGGCTGTATGCTGACAGCATGGAGCCTGCTTGGGATTCCCTCTCTCTGCCCCTCCCCTGCTCATGCTCTGTCTCTCTCTCAAAATAAATAAACTTTTAAATAAATAAAAATAAATAAAGTTTTTGTTTTAAATAATGAAGGGAGAGAGGGAAGGAAGAAGAAAGGAGGGACGGAAGGATGAATGAACCTACACATATGTGGACATTTGGTTTATGAGAAAGATGCTAAAATCAAGTCTAAAAAGTTCCTGGGTGGCTCAGTCGGATAAGAGTCGGTTTTGGCTTGTGTCATGATCTCACGGCTTTGTGCGTTCCAGCCACATATCAGGCTCTGCGCTGGCAGCACAAAGCCTGCTTGGGATTCTCTCTCCCTCTCTGCCCCTCCCCCACTTGCACTATCTCTGTCTCTCTCAAAATAAGTAAACTTAAAAAAAAAAAAAGAACGTTTGTGCCACAAGTGATACCATCAAGAAGGTGAAAAGACAACCCACAGAATGGGAGAAAACATTGGCAAATCCTACATTTATAAAGGACTTGTATCTAGAATATATAAAGAACTTTTTCAACTCAATAATAAAAAGACAAACTAATTAAAAAACAGTCAAGAGAATCTAGGGGTGCCTGGGTGGCTCAGTCGGTTGAGCGTCTGACTCTTGATGCTGGCTCAGGTCATGACTTCATGGTTCCTGAGTTCAAGCCCTGTGTTGGGTTCTGTGCTGACAGCACAGAGCCTGCTTGGGATTTTGTCTCTTCTTCTCTCCACCCCTTTCCTGCTTGCACTTTCACTGTCTCAAAAATAAACAAATAAGTAAAAACTTTAAAAAAAGAAAGTAGTCAAAGGGATCTGAATAAACATTTGTCTGAAGAACATATACAAAAGGCCCACGAGTAGAAGAAAACATGTTCAGCATCATTAGTCATTAAGGAAATGCAAGTTAAAACAGAAATGAGTTACCACTTCACAACTACTATGATGGCTGTAATCAAAAAGATAGGAAATAAAGTATTGGCAAGGATGTAGAGAAATTAGAATTTTCTTTCATACATTGCTGGTGGGAATGTAAAATGGTACAGCCACTTTGGAAAACAGTTTGGCATTTTCTCAAAAAGTTAAACATAGAACTATTATAAGATTCAGCAATCCCACTTCTAAGTATATTCCCAAGAGAACTGGATATATACATCCACACAAAACTTGTACATGAGCACTATTCATAATAGCCAAAATGTGAACTTAGTGGTTTTTTGGGGCTGAAATGGGGGTGGAAGACAATGCAGAGTGACACCTAATGGGTACAGGGTTTCTTACAGGGGGATGAAAACGCTCTAAATTAGATTGTGGTTGATGATTGCACAGCCCTGTGAACAAACGTTAAAAAATTATTTAGTTGTATACTTAAATGTATGAATTATATGGTATGTGAATTAAACTTTAATAAAGCTGTTTAGAAAGAAATCAATTCCAGGAGAATTGTATATCTAAATGTGAAGTGTGAATCAAAGATGGAAAGTGAGAAAATGGGCACACATCTTTTGTGTCCCCAACCTCATTATTCTTATCACTATAGCTATCCACTAGATTCCCACTAGAATCCTCTTGTTTCACCTGTAGATGTGGAGTAGAAAGCTGCCTAGATGTGGATCCAGAGTCTACAACTTCTTAGAAAAAGCAGAAAGAGTACCAGGGGACTAGGAGAAAGCAGAGGGGAACTATACGAGCAGAGACGCTGCTGGCAGAAGAGGTGAAGAAGAGGACACTTAAGGAGCTAACCCTTAGGTTAGCTACCCTTAAGGTCTGAATCTTCCCCTTTCCTCTCAGGCCTTGCAGAGGTCAGGAGGATCAGTGTTAGGGAAATAGATCTGGTAACAAACCCATAGAGATGGAAAGAGAGTTTATGCTATCCAGGAAAGAAATTTAAAATTCCAAAGTAGGGACAAGCCAAAGAGGTACATATGGACCATTGAAAATGAAGTTCACAGCTATGGGCGTCTGATCCAGGACTTGGATAACTATGAGTCTATTTTAGGGTGGAACCGAGGAAAGTGGTTTTTTTTCTCCTTCCTTTTTCTTTTCTTTCTCTTTTTTTGTTTTTTTAAAGTAAGCTCTACACCCAACATGGGGCTTGAACTCAGCCCCAAGATCAAGAGTCGCATGCTCAGGATGCCTGGCTGGCTCAGTCAGAGCATCCAGCTCTTGATCTTGGGGCCGTGAGTTCAAGCCTAACGTTGGGTGTAGAGATTACATTTAAAAAAGTCACATGATCTACCAACTGAGCCAGCCAGGCACCCCTGAGGAGAATGTTCTTGAGGCAAGTGGGGAAGTGTGTGCTACCCCTTAGAGACACATATACAGCTCCCATATGTGTTTGCAGTTACAGGAGCTCAGAAGGCATCACCAGCAAATGGTGCTTTTGTAGTGTCCCATGATGCTCATTATGTGCAGGGAGTGCCTCAGGCAGAAGTACTATAATTTACACCCTCCTCAGGGATATCAAGGAACTATTGCAGGTACCCCTGCCAGGCCTGAAATAGCCAAGAGCTGATTGTGCATAAATTGGGTACTTAATCAAAATAGATAAGTCAGGGGAGGAGGGTCGCTGGTGTACATAGTCCTGGGTTCACGGTGCAGCAAATTAACCCAACTGTGCATATGGCATGGACAGTTGCAGCCCATATGTACCCACAGTGCATGAGCCTGGTACCCATTGACACTTGTACTCCTGATGAATCTCTAGGAACATGGCCCTGTGTTTCACTGGTGGTTATGAAGGTTCAGGAGGAACCCTACCCTTTGTAAAGAGACTTTTATTATTATAGGAAATGTCAAACATAGACAAAAATAGAGAATAGTTCAATGATCTCCCCATGTATACATCACCAGACTTCAAAATTTATCAACTCTTGTTTTGTCTCTGCATTTCCCTGCCTCCTTCCTGTTATTTTGAACCAAATCCCAGGCATCATTTTCAATACATATCCCTAAAAAGATGAAGACTCATACTTTAAAAACATATCCAAACATAATAATCATACCTTAAAATGATTATTCAATCAGTATTTTTCTTTTCCTCATTGTCTTCAGCATTATCTTCCTTCCAGTTTACTAAATTGAGACCCAAATGAGGTCAAAATAATATAATTGGTTGATATCTTTAGTCATCTCCTAAACTGTAAGGTCCCATTCCATCTCTGTCTCCTTTTTTTTTTTTTTTTTTTTTTTTTTTTTTTTTTTTTTTTAGTGAAGAAACCAGGTTTATTATTATTTTTTTTTTTTGTAGAGTTTACCACTAAATGGATTTTGCCAGTTGTGCACACCCAACTTTTATCTATCCTTTGTATTTTTTGTAAAGTGGCAGAAGCTTTATCAGATTCAGAGTTTTTTTCAAGTTCACTTTATAGTCCTTCTTCCATCAGGAAATAATGTGTGATGATGATGAATAGGCAGCCATTAATGATCATTATCTAGATCTATTAATTAGGAGTTGTAAAGTAGTAGTTGTAAACTAATCTATCATTTATTTTTCATTTATTGTCCAAATACTTCTATAAAAAGAAATATTCCTTTACCCAAGCATTTGACTCCTATATGAAGGCATTTAGCCATTTTCCCAAGGAGGCCTGATTTCTTTGAGTGAAAAATCCTTGCTTTAAAACCACAGTCTGGGTGTGCCTCAGTTGCTTAAGCATCTGACTCTTGATTTCAGCTCAGGTCATGATCTCACAGTTTTGTGAGGTGGAGCCCCTCATTGGGCTCTGCACTTGCAGCTCAGAACCTGCTTGGGATTCTTTCTGTCTCCTCTCATTCTTCCCCTCCCCTACTCATGCTCTCTCTGTCACTCTCGAAACAAAAATGTAAATTAAAAAAAGCACAATCTGGGGAGCACCTGGGTGGTTCAGTCAGTTGAGCATATGACTCTTAATTTCAGTTCAGGTCAAGATCCTGGGGCTGTGGGGTGAAGCCCTGTGTCCATCAAGCTCTGTGCTGAGCATGGAGCCTGCTTGGGATTCTCTTTCTCTCCCTCTGTCCCCTCCCCCTACCTCTCTCTCTCTCTTCCAAATTAAAACAAAAAACAAAAAAACAACAACAACAAAAAAACCATAATCTGTGTTCTAGTGTTGCCATTTCTTTTTGAGCCAGTGTATGGAGCTTTGATTTTTATTTATAAATCTAGCCTTAAATATACCTTTAAGAAAGAGAATCAGCTTCAGTTATAATTGATCTTAGCATTTTTTATTTTTTATACTTTATAAGTACTTTACTTAGTACTTTTATATTTTATTTTATACTTTCTAGTAAATACTTCTAGTATCTGCTAGAAGATGTGTTAGAGACAGAGAAAGGAGATTAAAACCTCATTCAGTTCTTTTTAATTTATCAAATAAACGTAGAAAGTGAGAAGAAGCTAACATTTTGTTAGAACACTTTATCAGGCTCTGGACTTGAGTAACCTTTAAAAAAAAAACCTTTTACCATAATCTTGAGAGGCTGGTCAATATTGTGCCCATTTTATAGATGAGGAGACCAACTCTTAGAGTGGTAAAATGACTTATTCTGTGCCATACTGCCTATGAATAATGGGCAGTTGTGAGATTTTGTTTGGTTTGGTTTTTATATGTTATGTGATGTAAGGAGCTGACTTGGTTTTTCCATTACTGCATCAAGGACATCAAAAAGTCATTGGATTTGGGATGCCTGGCTGGCTCTGTTGGAAGGTCAAATGACTCTTGATATCAGGGTTCTGAGTTTGAGCCCCATGTTCAATGTAGAGATTAAAAGTAAAATTGAGGCAGCTGGGTGGCTTAGTCAGTTGAGCATCCGACTTCAGCTCAGGTCA